GGCCCCATCGAAGTTTGGGGCCCAATATATAAATTGTTAGTATTACTATATTAGTTAATTTGTTTGTATTAAATGGGTACAGTTCAGTTGGAATGTGGTGCATCTCTAGGATTGGAAGCTTCCGTGTTCAATCCAGTGCATTTTTTTTTAATTACGTTCGTTGTATCTTCCTATTCGAAGGAATCATGTTTTTCCATTTAAGATCAAAATTTACTATCTTTTATCCCTGAAATTTCCATCTTGTTCAGTTTTCTACCCGGTTTCCTTATTCTTCAAGTATGTAATACCTTTTGAAAATCTACATTTACCCGCTTCAGTTTCCTACTTTGCATTTATTCCGATTTTGTTTTTCATTTCGGTTTTTCATTTTTGACACTTTACCCTTTTGAATGAATTTAAATGCCAAATAAACTTCTATAATACCATTATCACAATGGTCGTAGTTAAGGAATTTTATTTATTTATAATTATATATAACATTTACTAACACATTCAATTCTCTTTAATATCAATACATCTTATCCGAATTTATAAATGTTACTTCCCCTCCAATTAGGATGATTCTATCATTTAGATAAGGATATCACTCTTTTATATTATTTCTTCATAGTAATTCTTTATCAAATCTAAATTAAATTTAATGGTCATACAAATTTCTAGTAATTGGAGGAGTTTTATTTTAGTTTTGCCCCCGGACCCAAATATGTTTGGACTGGGTGTGACAATTCAACTATATGGACATAAGCCTCCTCCGTTATATGTACATTGCTTAACCTTCTTATGGCCTTATTATAAAAGTTTTAACTAGTAAAAGATCATGTTACATAAATTTAAAATTGCCTTTCGATAAATCTTTTACTTTCTTTCTTACTGTATCCTTTATTTGATTATATTTTAAACGGATTATTTCATATTGATTTGCAAAATGTGTTTTCTAACATATTTTTTGATTAAAGAATATGTAATTTCAACTACCAAATAGCCCTAGTAATAAAAAATTTATAATTCTTAAATTTAGGCACTACCCTTGGTGTTGTCTACATAGTAATTATAAGTAACAACTTGATTTTAGAGCCGAATGGAAATCGATATTTGATCATTAAAAAAATGTTGTTTACTTTTTGTAACATCCGAAATATAAGGCTATACGGTGTGGGCAACGGCATTAGTCATTTTGTTGACGTGGGCATGCGAAAACATTGTGGTAACACGGCTACACCGCCCCTCCCAAGCCGTTAAGGCCCGTTAAGGGGTTGTCCGTGGTCACGGCAACGAGTCGCAGCGGGTAAAATTTTTGAACGCAAACTTGCTTTTGAACGTTTTCAAACGGTTGCTTTGATTAAAATAAAAAAATATATTTTTTACATATAAATACATATACAACACCTAATTTTTAATCACCACTCTATTTTCTTTCTCTTTTATTTCATAAAATCTTTCAACAATAAAAAAATGGATCTGTATGATCCGTTCCACGTGTTCAACGATGATTAACGACAACACCGATATCTTTGTGACTATGATGTATCGGTATTCTACGGACATACTACTACAACCAGATCCAACTCCACTACCCACACAACGTGCAGCGTTAAACAAAGATCACGAAGAAGGGTATAGACGTCTAATTAACGATTATTTTGCGGATAATTGTGTCTACCAGCCACACGATTTCATAAGAAGGATTCGTTTGCGAAAAAATATGTTTGAACGGATAGCCAACGTCTTGGAAAGCAGGTATCATTTCTTTAAAGTTTTCTAAATTATAAGTATAGCTTTTAGATAAAATACATACATTTTTTTTTACTTATTAAATATAAGTTTAGGTATGAATTTTCCAAATGAGATATGATGCTAAAGGTAAACGAGGATTTACAAGGTTGCAGAAATGTGTTGCGACAATTAAGCTTATGGCTATGGAGGGAGTCGTCTGATTCTGTTGATGAATATATGAAAATGTCCGAGAGAACCACACAAGAAAGTTTGTATAGATTGTCAAGAGGTGTTGTCGAAATCTTCGGTGACAAATACTTGCGCAAACCTTCGTTTAATGATACGCAACAAATATATGCGGCGCATGAAGAAAAAGCATGGTTTTCTGGGTATGGTTGGAAGCATTGATTGCACACGCTGGTACTGGAGAAATTATCTCATGGTATGGAAAGGCCAGTATGCAATCGGTCATCATGGAGCGCCTTCGTTGGTGTTAGAGGTTGTTCCTTCCTAAGATTTATGGATTTTGCATGCTTATTTCGGGGTTGAGGGTTCCAATAATGACGTTAACATTCTTGATCAATCGTCAATATTCGAGGATTTTTTGTCAGGAAAGGCACCGGATGTTCCTTTCACAGTGAATGAAAATGCATATAAGTTTGGGTATTACCTTACGGATGGAATATATCCACCATATTTCACATTTGTGAAGATGTTTCGACACCTAGTAGACCCAAGAGATGACAAGAAAGAGCACGTAAAGACGTGGAACATGCTTTTAGAGTTCTGAAATCAAAATGACACATAATTGAACATGCGACACGACCTTATGAGTTAGAAATTCTACGAGATATTATGTATGCATGTATCATAATGCATAATATTATGGTCGAGGATAAAGGACACAATATTGCAGCGTATTCACCTACAGAACCTAGACACATGAAATTTTAACTAGGGACAACAAAATATTTACATAGAGTGGTTGATATTCAAGACGCACAAAAACACAAACAACTTCGTGAAGACTTGGTGGATTATATGTATGATGGTCACGAAGATGAATAATTTAGGAAAAAATTATGAATAATTTTAGGAAAAAATTATGAATAATTTTAGGAAAAAAATGAATAATTGGAAAATAGAGTAATTTTTTTTTTTGTCTTCTAACATTTTTTTTAAGTTTTTAAATGTTTTTGTCCTTTGTTGTATTTTTTTTAAATGCAATGTTTAATGTAGGATTTATTAAAATATCATTATTTATTAAATTATTTGTTTTTTATAATTATTCAAAAATAACTAAAAAAATAAAAAAATAAATGATGACATGGAAATTAGAAGGTGTTATACCACACTTGGTGTTATAACATCATATATGACATGGCTATGTAACAACTTTTGGGTGTGATAACATGACTTAACATGTTGCTCACACCCACCAGCTCAAGATTTCAACCACAATACTTTATCATTAAGTGAAATACATAAATTTAATGGACCTTAGAGAGCTATATAAGAATGGTTAGAGCATGGGTTGTGCTATACACTACACATCTAATACATATTCCTCCGATTCAATCTAATTTGATTTGGATCCAATTTGTTTACGTTATCGACAAATCCAGACTGAAGTAAAACTGATTTTGATCTGATTCGACATAAAAAGAGTTGATGGGACTCAACATTTTACGAATTGGGGATATTTTTTTTAAATGACAAATTTATAAGAACTAACAAGGTGTTAGAAACAAAAACAAATAACAAATTACAAGACATAATATGAGAACAACACCACAAATTCCAATTAAGACCCTTAAATCTAGCCCTATGTTTAAACAAGTTGTATGATAAGAGTTGTATATCATCCACCGTTTTCATTGGAGAGCACATTTTCTTCTTGAAAATAAGAGAGTTCATTGCTTTCCAAATTGACCACAACACTGAATAGAGTAGACCATATATCAACTTCTTTTTATTTTTTTCTCCAAATCAAGAGAAGTTAAACATGACATGAGATTAGATAAGCATAAAGGAGGGGATGGAAGCAGGTCCATCCACAAAGAAACTCAATTCCAAATGGTAGCCGAGAAATGATAGCTAAAGAAGAGTTGATTGATATCTTCGTCGGAAGAAATTTTGGGCCCCTGGAGACGTTGGCCTTGAGCGGTCGTCCGGGTTGCCCACCGTCTAGACCGGCCCTGGATACTCCGTATCTCAAAAATCACATCACTGGTTAATCTGCTTTTCTAAATTGCAATCTTCCCTAACCCGTCAACTTGGATTGGTCCCAACTGGATCGGCCAAATAGTCAAGGTCATAATGTCATATTTCTTTGGGCAGAGTAATTCATCAAATGTGGCAAAAACGGAATAGAATAAAATTTTGATCGCTAAGTTTCGTGATCGAAGTCATTTTGAAAAAGAAAAAAAAAATTGTTGCAAACTGATGGAGATTTTTCAAAACAGGCTATCAAAAGCTTGTGAGCTGTAGAGATTCTCAAATCCTGATTATTGGACAAAATATTAATCTTTGTTATGGTTTATGGATTAATAAGGAGGGAATCTACTTGTTACGGTTCGAGGCCAATTTCATTCTTTATTGGGCTCTAATAACTGGAACATGGTTTTTGATTATATGGGCTTTAGCATTCAAAACTGACAACAAACATCCAAGGAAGCTTGGGCGAGTTAATGGTGGACTTGTAAATAGGAACGGCTCAAGGTCTCAAGCAACTGTTGGGATTTATAGTTTATATATATTTTTCTAAAGGATAATGTTATTTATTAGTCAATCAATTTTAAAAAGTTATTTTTCGTGTTTTAATATCCATAAAGATAATCAACTATGAATGCTTTTCTAAATATATTATTCTGACCTTCTACACCTATCTGGAACTTCCAAAATGGATTACCTCTACATGTTTTAAAATGATAAAAAGCTTTCATTGGTTGGTTAAAAGGCATTATCCTTTCCTAAAAGATGGAAAAGTTAACAAAGCGACATATTTAAACCACTGTTTAAGAAATTATCATAATTCTCATTTGAACCATTTCAAGAAAGTGCAATTTAGACCTATTTATGAAATGTTATTGTAGCTTATATATATATACTAGAAAGTTTCCCCCCGCGTTGCGGGGGCGGAAGGTGTTGCTTTTGCGTCAAAGTAAAGTACATTGCCTAAGTTGTTAGCCACAATAAAGTACGTTGCCATTGTAGGAGATTTGTCCATTTACAAACGTGTAAATGTTATAATAAGAAAATACAATCCAATAATTGGATAGAATTTTCACAGGACAATGTGTTAATAAGAAAAGATATCAAAGTATTGTAGTATGCTATAAAAAAAAAAATTAAAAAAAATGTACATTGCTAAATTGAATCTATCTCCAAAAAACCAACAACAACAATCAATTTTTCTGATATGGAAAAAAAAGTGTAGAAAAAAAGCACAAAATTACCGACCTCGGACCAGAACCTCAACGAAGATGATGGAGAAGACGGAAAATCAAGGACTGGAATGGCAATTTGAATACGATTTAGGCGAAGCAGGGGAGACGAAAAGGTGCTCTGAACAGGGGTAACTCCCACAGTTCAGCTGCACAAACAATAATGATTCATATATTTTTATATTCAGATATTAATTATACAAATAGATTACTTTATATTGAATGCATGATAATAAATAGAGCTTCATTAATTTCAAAGCTTAATACCTAGGAAAATAACAGCAAACAGAATCAGAAGAAATAACATGAATAAAAAAGAAACATAGACACATTAATTGAAAATTGTAACAGAATGAGTAAACTCTCACAATCATATAACAGCAATTGAAAAATGGTCTGAGCATATCTTTCATGTGTTCCTGTCCATCCATTCATAGAAGCAAAAAAAAAAAAACTCATAAACGTGACAATAACCACATTTTGCGTGGAAAAGACCTTGTAATTTTTTTTTTTGATTTTTTCCAATGTAACCTTTGTCATTTTTTTTCCAAAAAAAACTTGTAAAATATGGGTTTTTTTTCAAGAAAAAGTAAAAAAGCTGACGGTTTAGTCTGAAACATTTAGAAGTTCGAGTCTTTTCCGGGAAAAAAAAATACAAAGCTGAGGGCTTTTCTCGAAAGAATGAAAAAATACAAGGTCTTTTAAAAAAATAAATTGTGAGGAGATGAACAAAAGGGCATGTTTTAGATGACAAGGGCAAAATCGTCCACCTGATAAATTTTGAACAATCTTTTTGAGTAGCATCTGGTCTAGGTTTAGAAATTCCTTGAGGAATATATGCTTCATAGATTGAATTTGCAGATGCATTTTCTCCAACTTCAATCATGGCATCAATTTCAGCATCACTCCATGAATCTAATGTCATTGGTAAAACCTGCCAAATTCAGATTATTATCATTAAATTTTGGTTCAACAATGTATTTATTTATTTATTTGGGGAGGGGTAACCTTGGAAATATGAACACCAAGACATCTGTGAACACCACAACGTTTTAAGCATATGAACACTCCAATATTAGCTGACCTAAAATTCAAGAAAAAACATTTTCATATGATTATTCATGGAAAAAAATTGTAGAAAACTGGTTATGAATAAAAAAGAAAAAAAAAGGGCTAAAATATAAGCACAATCATATGTATATAGCTGCTAATTTTCTTTTGGAGGAAAAGAAATAAAGAAAAAGGGAAAAGAAAGGAAACTAATTATTTTATTCACGTTCTAGAGTTGGAAAGAAAGAGAAGATTAGCTGACAGTTTTTAGTGTTCTTGAATTAAGGGAAAGGAAAGAAAAGTTTAAAGTTTTACCATTTTCTTTTTTACCGAGTAAATATTTGAAAATTAAAGTTCTTTTAATTGAAGTTAAAAAAACTCACGCCCACTTAGGATCAGGTGCACCATAGTCATCACATGTTCGATTACGACGTTGCTGCAATAGATCTTGTAATCTTCTGTTACCTACATTATCATAAAGGGTTATATAATCTAATAAATCAGCCATTAAAATAACTGTTAATATTCAAGAAGGTAAATATACATGAATAGGACTCAGAATCTTAAGTCAATGGAACAAAAGTTGCAATGTATTTTGAAGGTGGGAAAGAGACTTGTTTCTTGATCTCTTCTGTGTGAAAAAGACATCAATGCCCTCCTCATCATACTAACGAACACATAAGATTACTTGAATGCCTTTGAACTTCTTAAATTTATTTTACATTCATAACACCTTCTAGATATAACAACTGTACGTTTTATGGTGTAGTAATCCAACTTTCCCCAAAAGGTAGCATTCAATATAAACTTCATTGTATCTTATATATAATAACACATAGCAAGTAAGGACATTAACAGATAATTCCATGCTTAAGAGCAATCTACAAAAGGGGCGAAATCTAGAAATAGATAATGATTTTCTTCCAATTTATGGGGGAATTGGAATTCCTTAGTTTATCATATTATACTACAATTTTTGGACAATTCAATTGATAACAGGGCGTATAAAATCAAAAAGTTGAATATGAATCATACCAGAAGGTGTTTTCCCAAGTGCAGACGAACGGTGAGTCATCCTTTTGCCTACAGACCAGAATCACCAAACAGAACTTTCAATTCTCTAACCATGCAGCTCTACACCACACCGAAATCCAGAAAAAGCTCAAAAGCAACATCAGATTTTTAATAAAATGAATTACTTACTTGTTTTCCATCGGGGATGAACTGGTTGCTTGTCTGGATAACGAACTAACCCTATCCTTTCGATTTATGCCCTCAGTTTTTCGAATTCTTTCAGCCAAATGTCATAAGCCTCATTTTCTTGCCCTGAATCACAGTAATAACACAAAAAGACGAACATAAGACAAGGTTTAATGAGGAAATGTGGAGTTTGGATAGGCTACCTGCAGCAACAGAAGAAGAGGACTTCAATTTATAGTAGATACACAGATGAAATATGCAACCCACCAAATCAGCACATATCCGATCAATCGCTGCTGGAAGTAGGCGGAGAAAGAAAGGAATCTTTGAGTATGGTCGTCACCGGGGTCTCCATCTCCGTCTAGAACTCAGAAATTTAGGGAAAAAATTGGAGTCGGCGGAATTACATACCGAGTTAAGATTCGACTTTTGATTGTTAGTGATTCTCTTCCTGGTCTTCATCATATCCCTCTAGAAGGCAAGCGAAATACAAACGAAGCCTCCAGAATCCATCAACAGAGGAGAAAGTGTAGATAGGGCGCATGGAAGTACCCAAAACGACTTGCTTTAACTTAGCAGAGGGAGTGTTGATCAGCGAGTGAAGTGAAGAAGTCGATAGCAAACAGTGACAACCTCTAACGTTCGACTATTAAACGGATGAGGCGGTGGAGCGGTGAGCGGTCGAGGCGGTGACCATGGTCGACAGTAACCCGATGAACACCCGACCGAGGCGGTGGTTTGGAGGCCGGTAGGGAATGGAAGGAACCGATAAGCGAGGCGGTGAGAATGATCTGGAAGATGGAGGCGGTGTTTTTTTTTAATGGAGAAAATGTTATAAATCGAGAAGCAAGCAACTTAAGTAGGAGGGCCGTTTCTGCCAAATGGGACACAAACAAAAATACATTATTAGATTAACAAATTGAAACACAAAGGCAGATTAACAAATTGAAACACAAAGGCAAAAGGCAAAAGGCAGATTAACAAATTGAAACACAAAGGCAAATAGAAGGACTGAGAATGTAATTCAAGGGACCAAAAGTGGGCAAAAGGTGTCATGTTAACTGTTCCTTTTTTCACAATTTTAATATATATATATATATATATATATATATATATATATATATATATATATATATATATATATATATATATATATACTAGGTAGGTGTATGGGCCGTGCTTAGCACGACCCGTTTCCTTAAAAAAAACTTGTAAAAATATGCTACACCAACATGCACATATAAAGCACATAAATGATAAAACACAAACAAAATCCAGCATAAAACTTGGTATACCCAAAGATTCTACAAAGTAATTTAAGCAATCATAAAACCATAAGTAAGTAACTGGAAATCTGAACCCCAACTCTACTAATCCAAATTTACACTTAATGATATGAGTAAAAAAAATAAGCAATCTTGTTCCTAAGACAACCCAAACGATGCTTACAACTTCCTACATAATCTTCTTGACGGCATCGACAAGTTGCTTTTTTAGAGTTGATGGAATTTAGATCTTTACATGCTTTTCAACATATGAATTCTCTTGTTTGCCATTGTTTGCCATAAATGTAGGGTTACTAATACGATATATTTGAACACACCTTTATAAGCGAATCACTCTCTTCTTCCCCTTTTGCCCCTGTAGCAACACACAAATAGAAATCGAGTTATGGGTAAATTTTCAAAAAATGTAAAAAAATTATATAGTTGAGCTCAAAAAATATAACACTGCTATTCACATTCTATTTTTCCACCTTCACGCGTCGAAGGCCCAAAAAAAATTCATTTTTTTTACTTACTCATAGCACATAAAAGTACGTAGTTAATATCAAAATGCAATTTGACTTGACATTTTAAGTCAATATAAGATCCATTATCCAAAAAATATGTTCTACAAGCCATCATACAATAATAGAATGTTTCATTTTATGATCAAATTCATTTTAAATACTATTAATAATACAATGTTAAATAAATTAAGACTAACCATTTCCTATTCAAGCAAAAGTTGAGGACACTAAATGGGTGGCTCATAAGCATTCTCAGGGAACACTACATGCCCAACCTTGCGGCAGTATAACAATGCATACCCCATGTCACTTTCCATCTCAATCTGAACCCACTTAAACACGCAAGCATCATTAAGGAAAACTTTTTATATTATTTAATTAGTAAATGATAGACCATTAATACACAAAATTATAAAAATGACAAGTAAAGCAACATCAGCCCCTGTGGCCACTTTCTTGCACAATCATCAAACATTTTAGTATACAAACATGACATTTCGCCCTTAAAGATAAGTATTAGGGTACGTTTCTTTTTCCCTTTGAGGTTTTTACCATTTTAAATGAATTTCAGAAAGCATGATGAAGTTGTACAATACAACCTTCCTAATATAACATATCATGGGTGGTGATATCAGGTTGTATGGAAACAGAAGACGACTTTAAAAGGATAGTATAAAAAGAAAATATAGCTTACTCACATTCTCTAAGAAAAGTCCCCATTGGAAACACAGGGTATTTATTGATTCAAATGAGCCCGTGAATACTCATTTTTCTGTCTTAATTCTCTCTTCTTCAACCTTCATTTCTTTGGACAAAAACAAAAGAAAATAGTCACAACTTTGTGGAACACCAACCAATACTCCTTTAAGGTAACTTTAACCTACACTTCCAGTTATAAATCATCAATTTTAGAACTCAACCTAATCCTAACATTCTATTCAAGTGTGAAAACCACATAATTGTAGTGGACATTACTAACATTCTCGTGAAATTTTCACAAACAGGTGGCAGGCTTAAAAAGTATGACTAATTGGCCCTTACACATTAGTTGATAAGAACCGGTGTAACAATTGACGCCTTGCGAGTAGGAAAGAGGTGATTTTTCCCTGTGTCAAAACAACCCACATGATTAAAATCCAGAACAGTATAAATTTTAGTTTGAATTAAGGAGGAGGAGAAGAAGAAAGAGGGGGAGAAGAAGTCCTGTGAGTGGTGGAGTCGGTCTGGGTTTGTTTATCATAAAACCAAAAAATCTTCATAACCGAGGATATGAGAACAACATTAATCGACTGAAGCTTGCATATGTAGAAGTAGCGGTGGTGGAGAAGTAGAATATAGAAGCTTCAATTTCGTTTTAGAACGAGAGAGATGGAGAGATATAAAGGAAAAGGAAACGGTGGTGGAATAAAGAGTGTAATGGAAATTTTGAAATCATCGGAGTCATATTAGAAAAGGCATAAGACTGAGGAGGAGGCACATGTCTCCCCATGCATTGGTGGAGAATACGGTGCATCATAAAGAATACGCGTTTTCTAATAAGCTGGAGTAAATCGATTGGGGCCTACAGGCGATGAGAGTGGTTGAATAGTGCCTCACGCGCCAAAAAACAAGGCAAGCGTGAAATGCACGAAGCCTCCTTAAAAAAGGTTATATATATATATATATATATATATATATATATATATATATATATATATATATATATATATATATATATATATATATATATAGGTTCAGGTTCATTTGAGACCATGCTAATTTTGTGAGACCGTGAGACCGAATCTAAAATTAATTTTAAAATGCAAAATAAAAGGAAAAAATCCGAAAATTCTTTTCTTAATTATTATTTTCGTAACTTTAATTACCTAAAAAAAATAAAAATAAATAAATAAAATTACCGTTTTTTGGAAAAATACGTGAAATATTCTAATAGAATATTACAATGTAAATATTCTAATGTGATTTTTAGAATGTTAGATTATTCTACTAGATTTGTCAGATATGTAGAATATTATAATATTCTACTAGAATATGTAAAAAATGTATTTTTTTTTTAATTTTTTTCAAAAAAAAATTTTGGTATTTTTTTATTTTTTTTTTGGAAAATATAAACTCTGAAAATAATATTTGAAATTTTTTTTTTGAAAAATTTCAATTATTTTGCATTTTAAATTTTTTTTTATTTACCAAATAAGTGGCTAGGATTGCGTCTCACAGTCTCACAAAATTAGGTCGTTTCACATTAACCTAACCCTATATATATATATATATATATATATATATATATATATATAATATATATATATATGTTATTGTTTTCTAACTATTTATTATGTAGATGTAAGGTTGATTGTGGACCAATCATTTTATTTATTTTAAGAAAATGATTAATAAATTTTATTGAATTAAAAATAATTGAAAAATGCCATCTAATTTCACTATAAGGGTATTTTAGTCAATTGAAATAAATTTTAAAAAGGAAAGTTCCAGATTTGTGGGGACAATTAATTCTAATTCAATTTTAATTCTAACATATTTTTTAATTATACCCAATTTTATTCTGTCAGAATGATATTCTATCAGAATGACATGATACATATTTCTAACAAAATACATATTTTGATTAAATAAACTTTTTGAAGAAAAACAATATTCTTGAACCATCCGTTGAAAAATAAAAAGATCCTTATATATTCATAGACATCTGAATGTAAATACGGATTCATACATATTCTTATAGACTAATAGGTGTATATATTTTAATACAATTATACATATTCTAAGTTTCTAACAGAATGTCATAAAAATAAATAAAATTTTAAAAAAATAGCATTCTTAAACATAAAACTCTTGAACGCACTTGATCTTCTTCAATGACTCATTCTTACTAGAATGACATTCTATGAGAATAACATCAAGTAAGAATGATATTCTATAAGAATATCATTCTGTGAGAATATATTTCTCTTCATCATATAACATATGCAATGCACCTGTCTCTACAATATATATATATATATATATATATATATATATATATATATATATATTATCAAATCCTATGAACAAAAATGTAATGCTATTTTTCTTTTATTCATGAAAAATTATAACTTTTATGGCCACTATAAAGAATTAAAATCATGTAACTTGAGATTTGCAACCGTATTTCTACATGATGAAACTTAACAAACCAACAATTTGCAATTTAATGATCTTGAAAGTTTTGTACAATTAAAAAACATTAGAAAATTTAACAAACCAACGAATAACATTTTAATTCATATCAACATTCTAAAACCCACAATCCTTATATATTCATAGACATATGAATGTAAATATAGATGTAATGTTATTTATTTATTTTTTTGTAAAAAAAGTGTTAACTTTTAAGGCGAATTCTTTATATTTTCAAAGTAACGTAAGCCAAAAGAATTAGAATCTATCATTTTATATGTTAGTTGAGGTAGAAAAACATCACCTTTAATAAAAAAATCTGCCATGAAAATAAGTTTTTTTTTAATAGGTATTCAAGAAAAAAAAACACATGAAATACTTTATAATTTCCACCTATAACTAAATTCTATAAACCATTGGAGTCACAGAAGAGGTTTCATTAAGACATGTACTATTAAATATCTATCCAAGTAAATATTTTATGTACCAATGGATTAGTGATTGCACATATTGGATGTGTGTGCAAGTTGGTGGGTCCTAAGCTACAGATCGATTTCACCCAACTTTTTAAAAATGACCATTCCTTCTTTAATATTAACAATACCTAGACTAACAGAAAATCTAATTGAAATAAAGATCATATCCATGAATCATATAATCCAAATTTGAATCTCGACCAACAAAAACATGATAAAATTAAACGGAATCCCTAACACATGTAAGAGAAGAGCCTGCCTATTGAAACTCTATTTAAGACATCTAGGAGACCTATTCTGGTTGTAGATGAAGTCAGGATGAAAATAGATAACAGAGGCCATCGTGGTTCCAATAACACCCTTATAGACATTGCAGCCAATTTATTCACTAACAACTCTC